GGGGGTATACTTCCATTATCCTTGGAGGCCAGAGACGAAAAAGACCTACTGTACAGCTGGTCTTGTGTGATGGAGTAGCACAAACAAACCACTGAGTGGCGCCCTTCCCCTGTGCCATCCACTCCCTGGATCCATGAACAAGACGCGTGCTAAACGACCACAAACCCAACAACACAATTAATTCAATTTAACACATTAAACTGCTTCCTGAAAATCTGCACCCCCATGTTCTATAACATTCTCTTTCTCCAGTGGTACCATTACCGTTCATTCAGATTCAATGGGTGAAGTGTATGTCATCATCTATTTTCTCATACCTATTTAACAATAATAATTTCTTCTTAACTATTGCTTTTCTTTTGTTGTAATAATAGCCTAATAGTGTAATATTACTCGCATACTATTATCAATGGACTTATTGATAATGTTATACGCTCTACTCTTATTAGCATACGTGATGACGTCGCCCAAGGATTTGCTGTCGATGTCCGACAAATCGAACAAGGAACGGAAGTGCAGTATGAGAGAGAAAAGAGATGTTTTGTGTATGAAGTTAGTGAGCTAATGTTAATTTACATTATCATTAAAGGAAGACGTTAAGCGGCGAATTGCTGAAGGAAGCGTTTCCTTCTTAGCGATAACCCGACATCAGATAGTCCTCCTGGACTAACCCGTCACTGTCTCTCAGAGCAGCAACAACTCAGGTAACGTTACGCTCACCAGAACAACAACTCGTCAAGCTAACGCTAGCCGGCGTTGACAAGCCAAGTGTGAAGAGTGTGTGTGGTTACGTTTGCTCACCTGTGTTGTTATTCAAATAACCAAAGTCGTCAGCAACGTTCGGTGAAGTGGACAACGTCAGCCATGGCTATGTTGCGAGTTCACATTGCCAGGATAACAGCAACAACGCCAGGCTAACGTTAAATGGTTAAACTAACTTAGTTGTTACCCGGCTGGAAATAAAATAACTAGCTAATGGCAACGTTAGCTAACCTAGCTAGCGTAACATTTAAGGGGTCTTACCTCGGTGACCTGCTTGTTGGTGATGCAATATGTACACGTCGTCCAGCTTTAGCTGCTAAGACTGTGGTACAAAGGTAGAGCTCAGCTACGGACAACTTTACGCCCAATATGTGGGGCAAAACATGCAAATCCCTGGAGCCCCTGGAAGGCCTGGGTTCATTGATTGTCAGGGGTTTCTGTCTTGTCTAAGTCCTTTTTTCGAAAACCCAGACCGTTTTATTATTTTAGATTATGTTGTGCTAAAATGGTACATATTCATAGATAAGTGTTTCAAATCAAATGACCAGGTAATGTGACACCAGCCTATATAAAAACACTTTGGTTATCAGACATTTGCCTCATGGCATGATTAAGTATCATGATGAAGTATCATGCCACGAGGCAATGAATGTCTGCCTTTATGAAGAGACTCTGTTTGGAGAGAGAGAGAGACAGTCATTTCCGATGGAGCCCTTGCTTTATTTACTGGCCCTTTTTGTCTTGAAGCCATTGCTGTATTTTGACATGTTTCGTGTGCCCTGTCAGCCAGGATGGATCCAGCTCTACTGAGGGAGAGGGAGCTGTTCAAGAAAAGAGCTCTGTCCACTCCGGCTGTAGAGAAGAGACAGGCGGCCTCCGACTCGCACAAGAAGAAGAAGTCCAAAGTTGACAAGGAGAGCTCCTCTGGGTCCAAACACGGTGCTGGTAAGTGAGTGAGGCTTGCTTTCCTAACATGTTTGTTACAGCGAATGGTTTCGTCCCAGTGTTGTAAGTGGGTTGTGTCGGGATGGAAGCTGACATGTAACTGTGGTGCCCATCGCTGTGCTTTAAGTATCAGTAGAGATGGACCAATCACCATTTTAATGGCCAGTCTTAATGGCCGTAATTACAGCTTTTGACTTGCGTGACATTACAAAATCGGAGTCGCTCCTCCGAAAAAACGTATATCTCTGTTATCAGTTTCATCCTTCTGAACTCCTTAATAAGCAGAGCATAGCTTAAATAATCTTTTCCTAAACAGCCACTCTTTTGGTGGATGCATTGCAGTTTTGTATGTATGTAAACAGAGTAGGAAAACATGTCAGAATTGGGATGAATTTCAAGTAATGTGGGCATTGTTGCATGCACATTTTTTGTGGGAGTTCCTCAGCTGGATTGTTTCTGTTGCTTCTGCTTTAAGCTGACGGCCTGTTTTCCAGGAACGTGCAGTTGAGGTAGCTCTATGAGTTTTCCCTCATCCCTCCTAACTTGGACCACTACTTTGTCGGTATCTTGACCATTGTCCCATTCAGCGCTCATATTGTCTGAGCTTGCTTTGTCCTTCTCGCGCTCCAGTCCTTCTTTTAAATCATCTGATTCATAAATGGCACAAAAACAAATTCCTCATCATCAGTAGCCTATGGTATAGCTTCATCTCCAGGGCTACTGTCATCAGAGCCCTCCGATATCAAAGAAAATGCTGCTCTGCACTATACCCGACACTCAGGTGCTGCACCTGGTGTTACAGAGACAGTAAGCAAACCTCTTCACCATTGTGTCTGTATCTATTCATAGTGAACAGTGAGACAGCAGTGCCATCCAGAGGCCAAACAGGGTAAACACATTACCGGCTGCTATACCATCAATAAAAAAATGTAACACCTAATGTACAGACCTCAGGTCTCTAGATACCCAAAACACTTTATTGAGAAAAACAATGCATACAAAAGCATTTTAAACATTTTGACGCGAGAACATTGTTAAAAAAAAATATTTTGAGGAACAGCAGAGTTGTGGGTCTAATGGAATTCAATGAATCAATTAGACAGGATGTAATTACCAGGTTGCGAAAGACCCGAGGTCTGCATTAAAGATTTAACTAGAGCGAAAGCTGCAGTGCGATCACTGTTGTGTTCAACACACACCCACACATACGTACAAGTAAATATAGAAATAGAAACTGCGCTTCTCTGATAAATGTCTGCCCAAGTATGAGTCTGTAACTCTGACATGAACAATGTCATATTTGTAGCAGTGGGCTAAAGTTAAACACCAAAAATGTCATCTTGCCGTGTTGTCGGTTGACAGAATCGGTATTGCACACATTCTGAGATGTCAAACTGAAGCGGTTCAGAGATGGAGAGAAAATGTTGTGAATTGTTGAAACCATATGCAAAATTTTCTCTCCAACTCTGAAACGCTTCGCAAATACTTTTCTGCTGGGTAGTTATAGGCATCGAAAGATTTATTTGCCTTCAATTTGTCTTAAACTATGTTCTTACAATGCTGCCGCTAGCCACCAACCCGCTATTGGACTCTGTAACCGTGGTAGCATGAAAGCGAGATGGAATGGGCAGCGTGCTTTCATGCTACACTGGTAACAGAAAATGAGCAGAACAAAGACACGATGTGCTTTCCTACGGCGTGTGGATGAAGCATTGAGCTGTTACATTTTACTCATTTAGCAGCTGGCTAGTTAGCTAGCTACCTTGCTAATTCCACCATGCTTTCATGCTACACCGGTTACAGAAAAGGAGCCCCACAGCAGGCTGGTGGCAAGCGGCAGGGCAGGGTCCCTCAGACTGACTCCCCGCCGCTACAGAGACGGACAAGCTAGCGAGCTAACTAGCCAGCCGTCCTCTCCGTAGCTCTCGTCTGCTCTCCTCCCGGCGTAGGCGTCGGCTTATCTGGTCCCGCCGGTCAATGTTAACTGTCTCGTCTAACACATCTGTCTTTCTAGCAAAAAAGAAGTCTGGTACATAATTCAGTGACAATTTATTAGGCATTTTGCATTTTAGGCCTATGAAATCATACATTGTGCTCAAGACGGCATGATAAATTTACATCACTGTGCAGCAACCAAGTCTCATGAGACAACGCTGCAATGCTAAACATGTTGACAACACTGGCATACAATTTACTAAAGAGCAGAGAAACGCAGGTTTTATTCAACAAGCTTGATCATTTGTTTGTTGTTCCTCAAGTCCTGTTGTGAAACTAGGGTAATGTCTTTAAGTTGGGACAGCGTTTTCTAACCGTACACAACAATTTACCATATTTCTTATAAGCGCATGTGCAGCCGGCTCAGGGCAGTACTCACAGGGCAGATGTCATACAACAAGAATACTTTTTTTTAACTAGCTGATATTGGGTCATAGTAGTGTTTTTATGTCAACATGGCCACCCTATGAGAACTATTTCTAGCACTAATGTTAATCGACTGCTCAGTCTGTTTCTGGTGTAAAAATGTGACTTTCAAGGTCCCCCCCTGTGTGTATGTGGCAGTAAATCTAGATGTGTGAAGATTCCCTCCTAACAGAAATAAATCGGTGACAAACTGACGCCCCCTTCCTTTTTTTTTGTTTTTTACATTGTTCTGTTACCTCATTCCCCGCATCCTCTCAACTGAGAGCAACCGAACCACTTGTGGGCACTTTTATTAGAAGTTCTTTCCTCAGGGCATCTGGGTCAACGCTGTGGTGTTGCCTAGTTCAGAAACCTGAATTCCTACTCTTCCTCATCTTGGTCCTCGCGGGCCCCCTACACCACCTCAGTGTGGGATTCCGGCTCCTTACAGATGCTGGTCATGAGCTTGCCGCAGCCTCCCGGCCCCTCCTCCTGTAGCTGGTGGTGTGTCTTCCCTTTGGCGCAGCACCCGCAGTCCAGCAGCTCGTAGAGCACGGCCAGGGCCGCCAGGGACATGACGGTGAGGATGAAGAGCAGCAGGATGATGAAGCAGGCTACGTTCCAGCCGTCGTGGAAAGGGTAGACCTCCTGGACCTGCAGGGAGACGCGGGGGACCAGGATGGCCTCCGGGTGCCACGGGAGACTACTTGGGTGTATGGCAGTAGTGCTGTTGGCCATGATTTCTGGTTAGAAGCAACGAAAAACGGGGAGAGAGACAGATTGTTAAACGCCTGCGACAGTGTTTGGTTCTAGGTTCTTTCGGGGAGAGCAGCAGGAAGCACAAATTAGAGAGGTTGTAAAAATACTTGTTTCCATGGTGAGAGGATGATTTAGGAAATTAAAGTAGTAGAAGAACGCCTCCCTACAGATCGTGAGCCTGAATCTTATTTTCACTTTTACACAGATAATGTACTGTTTGACAAGTACGTAGTCTAACCAGAGACATAATTGTGAGTTAAATGAGAAGACGGTGTGTTATTAGAGCAAAAGTTTATATTGCAAAAGAGCACGAACCCCGCTGAGGCCATCTGCTCACAACCAAAATAGACTTGAAAGCCTGGAAGAAAAAGATGGCTGCACAAGGAAATGTGCCTTTCACTGTCTGTGGTTTGCAACTCTTTGGCCAAAATGTAAATGTTGCGATTGAGGAACTGCAATCTAGTAACGAAGTTAAAAGGTGTTCTGCAATATTCACACTGTCAGCTCGTTGGTCTTTCCTCAGCGATCCTTTCACATTTTCAGCCAAAGCCGACCATTTGAAAATCCTTAGGGAACAGCGTGCCAGTGTCTCTGCCCTCACTCACACACACACACACACACACACACACACTGATTCACTCGTGTGCACATGCATGCTCTAAACACACATATGCACATACATACATGCACACAAGCACAGACATTTTTACATCACATACTGGCACCAAGGAAGCTGACCCAGATTACACTTGAGTGAGCCACATTGATGAGTTGAGGAAGCATAAGTGCTCCTCTTTAGGCTGTGAGGTTACTTATTTATTTATTTTTTTGGCGTATTTTCTTCTTCTATGATTGTTGCAACTTGGCTTACCGTGTGTAAAAACACCCATTTTGCGTGTACGAAAGTAATAGATTTGTGGCGCCTCGTGGGACGTGCGCGTGTGAGAGTGTATTCGGACGAGTGCTTCCTGTGTGATGTTTTTTTTTTCCGCGTTAATTGATACTAATGTCACAGAACCCCGTCTGTTGTCGGGGCTTCAGTTGTCTCAAGAGATTTTCAACTCCGGGGGGGAAATAAGCTTAAGTGACAAAATACTTACACAGTGACACGGTGATTTTAATGTAGGCTAGGTGAGGCAGCAAAATGATGACTATCCAGGAGTGCTCGGGTTTATGGGAGCAGGCTGAAGCACATCTGTCAACACACAGAATGTGATGCAACTTTTACTCCCTCTTTAGCATCAACTCATTGCCATGACAACAACCTCTTTTTACTAATTTGTCTCGGCCAGTATTGTCCCCCCCCACCTCCCCCTCGTGGTCTCGCTGCTCTTTTCTTCTGTCACATACACAATGACAGATTGGCTCCCTACAGCATCTGTTGTCCGTCCCAGCCCCCCCCCCCAAAAAATGAGCCCCACCCCAGCCAGGCTCTTAAGGTGTTACGGGATTGTATATTGCTCTCTGGATACACACAGCGGCCGCCTCTCACTAAAACACACACGCACGGACACACACACGCACACAACACACTGATGCACTCCTAATGCCTCTGGCTGGCTCCTCACAGCTGTCGGCCCCTCATTGATTTTTGCCTGGAGAGCTGCAGTTTGCATCTCCACAAAACAACAGACAGGATGCACACGAGTGGCTCCCCACACATGCACAGAAACACCCAGAGTTTCTGATGTTTGGCATTCCAGCGGGGACACATCCATATTTATTTAATCCATTGCGTGCCTGCTCAGCTCTCGGCCTAAATATTACAGGTGCCACCTAAAGCTCTCAGCGCAGTTATTGGTACAGCATGAATGACATTTACCGTCACCATATATAGTTAGATAAAATGATTTGCAATTTTAGGTTTCTCTAATGTAGGCAGGAATTGACTTCTGCTGCATTTAAAAAAAAATGCATGATTGACCCTGTGGATGCTGGATTACACACCAAAATACCCCCCCTCATCATAGCTACACAGTGCTCATGTGCCTATAGCTTAAATTCACGCTGTGGATTGTTATGATGTTTTGATGTCAAACATGCGCACGTTATTCTGATGATGCCATGATTGGAAGAAGGAAGAAAAAAAAAATGCACACTCACCGGTGTATCTGGCTCAGTCTTCAGAAGATGCAAGTCAACAGATGCGGCGCTCCCGTCTTCTTAGTGCTCGACCTCTCGCTCCCGTCTTCCGCTCTCTCCCTCCTCCGCGTTCGCTCCTCGACCTGTTTTTCCTCCTCGGCACTCTCTCTCTCGCGCGCACTTCCAGCCGCCGCCGCTCGTGCACGCGCCCCGCTCCCCTCCCCTCCCCGCCACTCCTTGCGGCTCCTCGCGTCTCGGCGCGGCCTCCGTCTCCCCCGTCATTGGCGCTCTCCGTGTAGCCCTGCCTCTGCACCATTCGTTCGTCGGTCTGTCACAATTTCCTGGGTCCCGCCCACAGCGCAGCTCACGGCGGCATCAGCTCCCGCCCACTTACCGTGAATCATTCAGGAGCCCGGTGTCTGTTTTCAGCTTTGATTGGCCAGGCCTCAGACGGTCTAAAGGGGGTGCAGCAGCAGCATTGTTTGACTCCAGAAGAGGACCTGCTGGCTGGACTGCTCTCATGTTGTACTCCTGCAGTATTTATATTGTATTTTTGCTACATTAAAGTATAAGGCTGATGATACTCATCATTTTTCATGTGGTCACCAAATCCCATGAAAATCCCAAAACTTAGCAATGAGTCTATCCAACTAAGAAGTTGTGACTGTCATTTTCCTCTGTGCCATGGATTGATTGGTTATTTAAAAAAAACACACATAAACACGTGAATATGGCCACTGCAGCTTATTTGAGTCAATTCCACATGCCTGCTGCTATAAATACTGGTTAGCCCGGCTAACGTGTGTTAATTCGCCCCTGGAAATAGTCTCCAACTTCAGAGAAATATAAATATTGTGATCCTTTTTGAACAAATTACATCTTCAGCGGGAACAACTAGGCTTGAGTGCCACAGAATGCACTGTACTGTTTGTTTTTGTCTTTTCACGGCATTTGTTAACAATAACAAAGATGCAATTAAAATGTTATACCCATTCAAAATAAAGATTAGTGACCTCCATTGACAGTAATGCCAATTGGGCTTTGTCTCGCGATGGTTTTCTCTCCACTGGTGTCAGCCTTTACTGTCGATAGTGTGTGACATTTAAATATTTTGCCTGAACCTTTTTCTTTCTCTCTTCCTCCACAGAGTCTAGTAATGGCAACATTAACATCAAGACGAGCTCTGGATACAAGTTTGGCTGCCTCGCCAAGATAGTCAATTACATGAAGGTAAGCCTCTCTCCTAGAAAAGGAACGTTCTCTAGCAATTTACTGGGGATTGTATTAAAGAGACAGTTCACCCCGTAATAGAAAATACATATTTTTACTCTTGCGTGTACTGCAATGCTATTTTAAGCTTGTTGTCATCTCATCAAAAGCTCTTGAAAAGCTTGACTCGTTGTCTGCTGTGAGTCAGTCGAGTCCGCTGCGTAACATTTGGTCCCCAGTCTTTCTTTTGGTACGCCAACAGCTTGTTCATCATGCTGTGACACTGCAAAGAGGCAGCCGGGCCCTGTCACACTAGCTGTCTGAGTCATCCCCCGCTACAGAAACTCACGCCCTCGAGTTGACAGATTTTCCTTTTAATTTGTGCATTTGTTGTGCCGTCTGTTGAGCGCACAGTTTCGTAAACCGTGTAAAGTACCCCGACATTTGGATGTCAGGTGCAAAAATCGCCGCAGACGTTTGGCTGAAATGTGGGAGCTGAGAATGGCTTACATCTTAAAATGTGCGTGTGTCTCTGTGTGTGCGTGTGTGTGTTCTTTATGTAAATCTGTGTGCGTCTCTCTCCTTGACTCTCAGACTAGGCATCAGAATGGCGATACACACTGCCTGACGCTGGAGGAGATCCTGGATGAGACCAAGCTTCTTGACATCGGCATGAAACAAAAACAGTGGCTCATGACCGAGGTGTGCTTCACGTTTCCTGAGTATTCACACACATCACCCAAACATCCAATACCTCGTGTGCATGCACCGATAGGTGAAAGCGTTTGGTTAAGTGTTCACTCTCCCACAACCGGCCTACTTGTTCAGTTCGATGCAGAAACAGATGCAGGAGTTACAGTTAATTCCCCGACACATATGCACACCTCCCAGCTGGTCCACTACTTAAAGCTACTTTAGGAAATTTCTTTTTTGCTTTGAGTAGGGCGGTCTCTGTGGACAATTAAACTAAATTGAGACCGTTTCATAACCAGTTAAAAGTTCCTCAAAGTAACTTGAACTAGAGACTTTAAAAACCTGACATCTACCGCTTCACTCTCCAACAATGTCAGGCCTTGGTCAACAACCCGAAAATAATTGTCCGCGATGGGACGTATGGCTTCAAGCCCAAGTACAACCTGAAGGACAAGAAAGCCTTGCTGAGGCTGCTGGACAAACACGACCAGCTAGGCCTGGGAGGGGTGCTGCTGGACGACGTGGAGGAGGGGCTGCCCAATTCAGCCAAGGCCATCAAGGTTAACGCGCATTACATGTAGCACATTCATGTCTGCCAGCTAATGTATACTGTGCGTTATGTTTGTGAATGGAAAGGGACGTGTGTGTGTGTGTGTGTGTGTGTGTGTGTGCGCGTGTGGTGTGTGTGTGTCCCACCTTTGAACACGGTGGAATCTGAACAATAAAGACATTTTAGCAGTAATGTGAGCTGTGGTGTGTTCGCAGGTTTTGGGGGATCAGCTCATCTTTGTGACGAGACCAGATAAGAAGAAGATCCTCTTCTACAACGACAAGCACTGCCAGTTTACGGTAGACGAAGGTGAGCATCATTTCTCGGTCAACTGTAACACGGCTCTCTCTGTCTCGCTGTATTTCTGTCTTTTACTGACTCTGTATTTATAAGATTTGGCTGCTGGAGGTTTTGATAATTGCTTGTTTCAAACCAGCCTCTAACAGACAAAATATTTGGGTTTAGCTTTCCCTCAATCTATTTGATATCATTGGAACATAAATATGTTTGCCAGTTTGAACTGCTGATCAGATAAAAGAAGCATTTTTCTACATATAAATTACATACAGTATATAGACAGACACAGTATATATGCAAAAATGTGAAAATTCCACCTTACTTTAACACACATTTATATCATATCATATATCTCTTTGCAGGTATAACGATAGAAATGTATGTTGTATGTTTCTGGATCAAAAAACTTGTCTCATTTGTAGAATTCCAGAAATTGTGGAGGAGTGTTCCAGTTGATTCCATTGATGAGGAGAAGATTGACGAGTACCTGAAGAAACAAGGAATCTCCTCCATGCAGGAAACCGGACCAAAGAAAGTGGTCGGTGTCCCCTGGTCTCCCACCTGCTTGATTTTCATTCTAACTTCCCAACTCTATATTTATTTTCTGTGGTTTATTTTACTGGGAAAATTATTTTTTTTCAAATGTTAACAATGACATTTGTACTTTGTCGATCAAGCATCTTAATCAGTGCTGACTGTGTTTGTGTGCTCCCTGTGCAGTTACCAGTTCAAAAGAGGAAGAAGCAAGGGCAGAGGAAGAGACACTTTAAGACCCACAACCACCACTTGGCAGGCGTTCTGGAGGACTATTCGGAGGGCGTTCCTGTGAAGAAGTGAGAGGCTTCCCCTCGCTGCCTTATGCCCTCAGAGAAGTGATGGAGCGCATGACCACACGACAATTCAGACTATTTCGTGGCAGCCTGTTGAGCTCTTTTTCCTTTCTTCGCACTCCTCTCAATGATCGGCGGCCGTGTATTACATGGAGTGAACAGCAGCTGTGTTGTGGAATCCTTTTTAGTTTGTTTATTGATCAGTGACAACTGCGGGAAAAGAGTACCGAGACCATTTAACCAAAACCACCATCCTTACCGGGGGGGGGGCGGCAACGGGGGGGGGGGGG